GGCAGGTGAGAAGTGTCTTTTCCATGTTACCAATCCAAATTCTGAAAGAAAAAAAAGATGGTAAAATATTTAACTCCCAGCCAGGTGTGGTGGCTCATGCATGTAATTCCAGTATTTTGGGAGGCTAAGGTGCGTGGATCACCTGAGGTTTGTAGTTGGAGAGCAGCCTGACCAACATGGAGAAACTCTTTGTCTACTAAAAATACAAAATTAGCCGGGCGTGGTGCTGCATGCCTGTAATCCCAGCCAACTCGAAAGGCTGAGGCACAAGAATCACTTGCACCCTAGAGGTAGAAGTTGCAGTTAGCTGAGATTGCACATAGCACTCCAGCATGAAGGCTCATGCCTCCAATCCCAACACTTTGGGAGGCTGAGGAGGGCAGATCACCTGAGGTTGGGAGTTCAAGACCAGCCTTACCGACATGGAGAAACCCTGTCTCCACTAAAAATAGAAAATTAGCTTGGCATGGTGCTGCATGCCTGTAATCCCAGGTACTCAGGAGGCTGAGGCAGGAGCATTGCTTGAACCCAGGAGGCAGAGGTTGCAGTGAGCTGAGATCATGCCATTGCACTCCAGCCAGCACAACAAGAGTGAAACTCCGGCTCAAAAACAAACAAACGTAACTCTGCATAACATTATCTGCAAATTCATCATCTACATTTCTAATAGAAGGATTTTTTTTTTTTAGCGCTTTCACTTGTGCCCACTGGACAAGGTTTGATTGCAACTATCTGCTACCAGCATAGACGAACCAATTCAAGGAGAGCAATAAATGGGACTAACTACTAAGTTCCCATAAAGAAAGTCCTTAAGAATAAAATATTTCCTCTAGTTGACACAAGATTAAGACAATGGTCCATTACATAAAATCCCAATCTAATAAAAGCTGAAATGTAATGTTGTCTGTTTCCCAAATTTTAATTTTGTTCAGGCTCTGTCATGGTGACCAGGGATTGGAAAATGACTGCAAAGAGCCTCTGGGGAATCTGGGGAGGGAAGAAAGGTAGTCTGTATTCTAAGAGGGGACTGAGGTGATGGCTACAAAATTCTACATATCTACGGAAATTATTCAATTCTACATTTGTGATTACTGACTTTCATTACAAGTAACTTGTTCAATAAAATTTCTGGTTTCTACTCCAACCTGCAAGGAGCCAGGAGGTCACCACTTGTCCTTACAACAAGAAAAAAGCTGAACAAACTGAAAATTATCAAATCTTATTAGCGGGCCTAGAAGAGAGGTCACAGGGCAAATTGCCATGCTGAAAACAAGACAGACAGGCAAATACAAGGAACAGAAGCTGCTGAAGCCAGCACTTAAATGGTACTGACAGATTACTAGAAGCTGAGGGTGGCCTGCCTTGAGCATTCAAAACTCCTTGGGGCCCAGATTTAGTGGGGATCTCACATTTTTCTAAGTTTTATCACCTGGAGCCCAACCAGGTTCTCATAGTAAAGATCAGAAGAAAAATGCCCACAGAACTGACACTGCCGACTTCAGCACTAATTATAAAGCTACAGTAACCAAACAGTGTGGAAATTGGTGAAGAAAGAAAAAAAGCAGACAAATAGGTCACTAGAAAAGAATACAGAGCTCGGAAATAGACTAACCTTTGAGAAAGGCACAAAGGCAATTTAACAGGCAAAGGATAGTCTTTTCAACAAATGGTGCTAGAATGACTAGATATTCACATGTAAAAAATAAATAAATCTAGACACAGATTTTACACCTTTCACAAAATGGATCTTACACTTCAATGCAAGGTACAAAACTGTAAGACTCCTAGAGGATAACATAGGGGAACATCTAGGTGACCTTGGGTATAGTGATGACTTCTCAGATACAGTGTCAAAAGCACAACCCAGGAAAGAAAAAATTGATCAGTTGGACTTCATTAAAATTAAAAACTTCTGCTCTGGGAAAGACATTGTTAAGAAAATGAATAAACAAGTGATAAACTGGGAAAAAATATTGGCAAAATACAGCTCTGATGAAAGACTGGTGTCCAAAATACATAAAGGACTCTTAAAACTCAATAATAATAAAGCAAACAACCCAATTTAAAAATGGGCAGAAGATCTGGATACTCCACCAGAAAAGACATATGGATGGCAAATAAGCATATGAAAAAGATGCTCAAAATCATGTGTCACTAGGAAATTGCATATTAAACCAAAGAGATGCCACTACACTATAATATATACCTAATAGAATGGCTCAAATCCAAACAAGTGACAATACCAAAGGCTGCCAAAGTTGCAGAGCAGCGGGAACTCTCATTCACTGCTAGTGGAAATGCCAAATGCTAGTCACTTTGGAAAACAGTTTGGCAGGTGTTTTTGTTTTGTTTTGTTTTGTTTTTGTTTTTGTTTTTTGCAAAGCTAAAAATAGCCTTGCCACATAATCCTGCAAATAGCAGTTTTAGGTATTTACCACAGTAATGTGAAAACATGTTCACTCAAAAACTTGCATCCAGGTATTTACAACAGTTTTCTCATACTTGTCAAAAACTGGAAATAACCAAAATGTCCTTTACTAAGTTAATGGCTAAACAAACTGTGGTATATCTGTGCAACAGAATATGATTCCGTTATAAAAAGAAATGAGCTATCAGGCCATGAAAAGACATGGAGGAACTTTAAATACATAATGCTAGGAAGAAACGAGTCTAAAAACTCTACACACTGTATGATTCCAACACTAGGACATTCCAGGAGAGTCAAAATGGTAGAGATAGTGAAATGATCAGTGATTGCCAAACGTGGAGGAGGGATGAATTGGTTGAACACAAGGAGGTTTTCAGTAGTGAAACTCTTCTGTGTGATACTGTACTGAGGATTCATGACACTAGGTAATTGTGAAAACCCACAGAACTATAAAACTCAAAGAATGAACCCTAACGTAAACTATGGAGTTTAGTTAATAATAACATACCAATATTGATTGATCAATTGTAAACATCTATCACACTAATGCAAGATACTAATGATAGAGGAAATTGTGTTCTAGAGGACAAGAGAGAATAGGGGAATTCCCTGTGCTATCAGCTCAATTTATCTGTAAACCTAAAAGTACTCTAAAAAATAATATCTATTAAATTTTATTAAAATTCTGACATGACAGCCTCAAATCAAAATGTTGGTGGCATCCTGTTACTGTGTGGTTAATAATGGGCATTGGGGTGGATCAACCTGGAGTCAGAACGGTCAGAGATAGCAATGCCTGTGCCTTCAACCTCTGGCTCTGCGGGTGTCCCTGGAATCCAGAGAGCAGATCAGTTGGCTTGAGACAGCCTCAGTGCTCCAGATAGTGCAGGCTTCTGGTAAGGACAGGGAAAAATCATCTCAGGGCAGTAATATGGCTGATATAGATTTTATTTTGGACGTGGGTGAATCTTGAAGTCTAAAAAGTATTTAACTTAGAAGACAGATACTCTCTGCTCATGATGTTAAGAACAAATTTAGAATTGTTGTTAAACTTACATCTTTATTTCCCTAGCTGGCCAGGACCTCATCAGTAGCTACTGATGTCACTAGTGTCCTCTGATCACCTTGGCAGTGATAACTGTTTTGACCCAACAGAAAACTGAGGTGTTGCTTGTACCTAAGATGCTGACACCTGGCAGAAATCCAGGGTCACTGTCCCAGAGCAAGTCAGCCAGCTGTTGATTAACAACCAGAAGGGGGACCCGGTCATCCACTGAGGTCATCTCCATGCAGCATGAGCCACTTGCTCTAATGAAGCCACCATCACTACATTTCTCATAACTTGCTATTCACTAGACTGAGAGTTCTGTGAAAGCTGAGATCATATCTACTCATCTCTGTGTTCATGATTCCCAGCTTAGGGTCTGGCACTAAGGAAGGTCTCAGCAGTGTTCACTGAAGATAGGATAAAACTGACTATAGATATCCAATCCAATCACCAACAATCCTCTCCAAAATGTCCTACCAGGGATGCTATAATTTCTCCCAAGATGCAGCAAGCCCCCTTCCTACACCTGTAGACCCCTGCTCTACACCAGTCACATCCCAGGATCTTCTGTGGGACACTGGAGGAAAAACGGGACTACTCTGAAGAATTCCTCTTATGGTTCCCCTTGTCATTAGGAGCAATGTCTTCACCTACACTCCCATCCTCTGGGCTGCCATGACACACCACTTTCAGAGAACTACTATATTTTCTTGAAATCATGTCATTGTGTTCTTTCTCTCATGAGCTTGAGTTGCTTGGGGAAACACTACTATTTGAACCCCAAGTACACCCAGTAAATACTCATATCATATAGAGACCTTCCTCAACTGAAAGTGCAGAGGAATAGTGTAAGTATCACTGCTTCATATACTGGCAAGAAATACTTACTCTGGCACCTGACCTAGGGCAGAGCTGTTTAATGTAAGAATAGACATCTCCAACCCTTCTCCAAGCATGGTTCTTCTCTAACCCACACTGACCTGAACAGCATCCACTGCTATGGCAGCCCCGAGGTCGAGGCTCCTAGGTCTGGGGTGGGGCTCAGGGTCAAATCCTCCCCCTCTTGGAGTTGGTGCTGCCTCTCACTATAAACCAGCTCTGATCCCCCCTTTGGCTCTTCCTCACCAGGGTCAGGAGACTCCTGTGGATTAAGTGTCTTGCCCAGTCCCCGCTGCTCAGCTTGCGCTGCCCCTCGACTGGTTGAATGATCACAGGCCCATTGCCCATTCCCCTGAGGCTTCTGGCCCAGTTTGTCCTTATTCTCCCCTGCTTTGTTTCTCACCTGTTCTAGCGCTGACTTGTCCTTTACAGGTTCTTCTCTTTTCCAAAACCTGCTGACTTTCTTCCATCTGTTCCCTCAGTTCTCAGCTTCCCAGGTGTGAACTCAGCTCAGGCTCTGAAGGAGAAACACAGGGGCCAGAGTCAGGAGTCAGACCCAGAGAGGTCAGAGGCAGGTTAGAGGTCCAGGCAGTGTTAAAGACCATCTCAGTCCCTCAAGGACTCAGAGAAAACTAAGCAGGAAGGGACCTCAGAGAGGTACAATTAGCACCTACTTTACTGATGAGAAAACTCAAGTCCAGAAAGACTAAGACTCTCCCAGGCTCCCTCATCACCCAGTGGCAGCAGATATACCACGAAAGCCTTGGCCTCACCCTCCCTGTGCAAAGCAGGTAACTCATCCTCCAGAAACTCGCTGCTGCCTTTCAGAAAACTTTAGATCAAATACAGCAATTTCACCTTGCAAACAGAGTAAAAGGGTCTTTCCTTGGACAATTCTTTATCATGGTTCTATAGGCCTATTACTTACTCCCAGTCCGTTGTCATTCACTGGCTAGCAGTTTGGGGCAGGGAGCATGTGAGGATTAAACAGTGGTTAACACAACCCTGCTTTCCCAGTCTGGGCGTTCAGCTACTCCATGCTTCCTCAGGGAGTTTCCTCTGCTGTAACTGCTGGAGAGTCCAGGCCCTCATGTGGGTCATTTCTCCATGAAGATCCCTGTTATTTTCTTCCTCTCCTGGAGATAGAGAGGGCAGAGAATGGCTCTGGGACTCCATAGTCTTAGGTTTTCTCCTAAGCCAGCCAGGGCAGCTGAAAGCAATCATGACTGAGAGAGGTTAGGACAGTGAAGACGATCTCAGAGGAGCACGGGCTCACAAGGACAGCCCCTCGTGGAGACAGTCAGGACCGTGACACGGGCACTATCTGACCAATTCTGCTGGGGGCGATGGACCAAGGATTAAGCAGAGGATGCTGCCATGAGGAGAAAGGGGAAGAACCAAAGGAGTAGGGGAAATAAGATAGACAATAATGGTTTCAAGAAATGCAGAGCAAAGATCCCAGAAGCAAAGTCCCACAGGATGGAGGGTCAGTCTCAGGCTGTGGATCCTACTTAAGTACCTCCTGCTGGATTTTGCCCAGCTCCATTTCCAAACTATTTTGGATTGGTGACTTTTTTCTCCCTTCCATGTTCCTTCTTTTTGAACTAGAATCACTGTAATTGTTATTCTGTGCCTGTCCCGCCATTCCACATTAGGAGCAGATAAGCAGTTTGTTCAGTTTCACAGGTCGACAGACGTAAGGCAATTATGTCAATAATCTGTACTTAATGGACACCCTCAGAAGCCTCATTGACACCTGGTGTGGATGTTTTAGATAAGATTTTAAACTTTGGATCTGATGTGGCCTATGTGACATTTTTCATGTTGAACTAATGCTTTAATGACATGAAATTTGGAAACTTTAGAGGAGAGGATGAATGTATTTTGCAGATGGGGGAATGTGAGTGTCCAACTGTGGTAGATGGAATTTCTGAAATGGTCCCCAAACATGCCATACCCTTGTCTCTGAAGCCTGTTAAGGTGATGAGACACCACTCCTGTGATTATGTTTTTATGTGACAGTTACATGACCTGAAGATGATGAGGTTACCTGCATGAAGTGGATTGAATCACATCACTCCATACATGACAGAGCTTTCTGTGGCTGGTTGGAGAAGATGAAGTCAGAGAAGGAAGGAGCTTGAGAAGGACTCCATGAGTTGTGATTGGTTGAAAGATAGAAAAGACAGGTAAAGAGGAAAGCAGGTGGCATCTGAAGTCAGAGTATCTCCTGGCTGACAGCCAGCACAGAAAAAGGGCCCTCAGTCCCCCACAAACAAGAATAGAAACATTTTCCAATATCTGCAGTGAACTTGGAATAAAAGCTTGAGCTCTAGAGAAAAAGCATAGCTAGCCCATTTCTGGATTTTAGCCTCACATGACCCTGATCAGAAAACCCAGGAAGGAAGGAAAAGAAGGAAAGAAGGGAGGGATAGGGGAACAGATAAACTTACATGAAGATGAGGAGATCCAAGGAAACTTACACCACCGATATGTTCAATTAACAGGAACACGCTAACTAGTTATTAGAGAGACACACTACTATAAATCCATATACTGTTTCCATGGCAGACAATCATTCCTGCTTCTCTGAAACACTTTCTGTCTCCGCCTTGCTGTTGTTAGAGACACTGAGTCTTCCCTTTGGACAAGTTCTGGCACCCACAGGAATGAGATGAGACAGTGAACCCCAGAACACCAGGCCACAATGTTCCCTGCTGCTCCTTGTCCACTCCAGAAGCTGCCCAGCTGCAGGGGAATGTGAGCCTCAGCTCCTGGGTCTGACATCATCCCTTTGCCTTTCTCACTGGGCTTCTCTCCTTGCACTGGCTCCCACTCCCCCAGGAACTGGCAGGTGACCACGTGAAAAGAACACAAACAGGCCACGCCCCTTTCTTTCTCCTCTCAATGCCTGCAGTGGTGGGTTCCATGGGGTAGTGATCTGACATTTACTCATTATGGTGCCCCTAGCCCAGAGCAGGGCCTGGCACCTAATAGCCACCATGTGAATGCTCAGTGAAAGAAGGTGACCACCACAAGGTCATGAGGAACCAAGAATTCTACTGTGGCCCATCAATTTTAAGTCCTACACAATTCTAGAATGGGAAATGTGAAAGGCCTTCAAAAGTGGCCACTCTCTGAAACCATTATACTGGCAGCTGAGCCATGTTTCCCCATCCTGGACACATCTAGAGGGCACCGCCTAAATCCAGACACATCTCCCCACACAGGACAGTTCAGGAGCCTTAGCCTGGGAAATGTGGTGGACAGGGAGGGGGGAATCATGAAAGTTGAAGAGGTGAAAGCAGGTGAAAGGGAACAGCAAGGTGGAAACAGAGAGAGAGATGGGGATGGAGACTGGGGGATGAGAGGGGAAGAGAGAGGAGAGGGACGCAGATCCAGCCACTGAGGAAAAGGCCTGAAGAGAACACTGTCCTCTCCTGAAGTCAAATAACTTCCACCTGACCACGCACTGCAGCTCGTGGGTGGCACATGCGGGTCATGCTGCAATGTTTAGGGCCTATGGAATCTTCCCTTCTCATCTGAATCGTAATGGAGAGAGGACTCTCTGACCCCATCCAGCTGGCAGTGCCTCGTGATTTTTACCTGTTAGATCTGGCAGCTCTTCATGTCAGCCCACACCGCATGAGGCTGCTCTTGGTGAACCGAATGGGGAAGATTCTACATCAGTGCCTCGGAGAGTCCACTGGAAGCCCTGGACAGCAGGAGTCAGTGGTGCCCCAGCATGGAGGCCAAGAGCACACAGCACTGAAGCTCCAGACACCCTCAGGAGGACAGTAAAGGACAATGTGCTGGTGAGAGCCTGGGTCAGCAGGAACCTCCGCCTGGGTCTGAACATGATTGGCCTTCATACGAGCTATGACATAAAAGAGAGAAATCAAGGTTAACATTAAGATTTGGGGCTTGGGGAACTTGAAGGATGGAACTGCCATTTGTTGAGACTGGGAAGACTGAGAAAGGAGCAGATTGAAAGGCGGTGAGGAACTAGAATTGGCTGGGTTTCTGTCATATGCAATCAACAGTCCTGACCAGCCTGGGCAACATAGTAAGACCCTGTCTCTGAAAATAAAAAGTTAGCCAAGCATGGTGGTGCACACGTGCAATCTCAGCTACTCGGGAGGCTGAAGCAGGGAGATTCCTGAGTAGCCAGAGAAGTTTTCACAAAATAAGTAATATTTGGGGCAGATCTTAGTGAACAGGAATTCCATTCTTTCTGTTAGGAAATTAAGAGAGTGTGGGTGTGGTTAGTTAATGATGATTGAACTATCTTTGGAATCTCATCCACTGGTCTATCTGGTCTATTTATATATGTATATTCTATCTGCAGTCTCACTGAGCTTTGCTAATTTATGTTGCAGTAACAAAAGCCCCAAAATCTTAGCAGCTACACATACAAAGGTCTATTTTCATTGACATTTCCTTTTATGGCAGGTTAACTGTGACTCTATTCTATACAAGCTATTTTATTTGTTAGACAGTGAAAGCTGTGATACTTAGAGAATTGTTGAATGTGGTTCATTCATTCATTTAACAACTATTTATTGAATATCTGTTTCATACCAGGCAAGGTCAGGCACTGAGAATACAGTAGTAAATAAGAAACAAGATCTCTAATTTCCACAAGCTTATTTTGAAAATGAGATTAAACACAAAATAATCATAACAATATTACATTCATAAATAATAAATATTTTAAATTAGAAAAATATAAAATTATTAAAACTAAAATGGCCAGGAGTGATGGCTCACACCTGTAATACCAACACTTTGGGATGCCAAGGTGGGAGGATCATTTGAGCCCAGGAGTTTGAAAACAGTCTGGGCACCATAGGAAGACCCTGTATACAAAAAATAAAAACTGAGCCTGGCATGGTGGTGCATGCCAGCAGCTACTAAGAAGGCTGAGGTAGGAGGACTGCTAGAGCCTGAGAGGTCAAAACGGCAATGAGCCATGATCATACCACTGCACCACTGCACTCCAGCATGGGCGACAGAGCGAAACCTTGTCTCAAGAAAGCAAAGAGAAGAAGATATGTTCAAACTATATGCAGGAGAAAAAAGAAGGAAGAAAGAAGAAAAGAGGAAGAAGAAGAAGAAGAAGAAGAAGAAGAAGAAGAAGAGAAGAAGAAGAAGAAGAAGAAGAAGAAGAAGAAGAAGAAGAAGAAGAAGAAGAAGAAGGAGAAGAAGAAGAAGAAGAAGAGAGAAGAAGAAAGGCGGAGAAGGAAGAGAAGGAGGAGAAGGAGGAAAAGAAGAAAAGAAGAAGAAGAAGAAGAAGAAGAAGAAGAAGAAGAAGAAGAAGAAGAAGAAGAAGAAGAAGAAGAAGAAGAAGAAGAAGAAGAAAGAGGGGAGAAAGAAGAAGAAGAAGAAGAAAAAGAAACAATTTCATTGATGTAGTCCTGAAACTATTATGTAGAATACTATTGTCTACATTACATCACGTCAGTCCTTTAATGGCTTAACAATTAGATATGATCCATAAAATTTTCCTGGTAATTAGGTATACTTAAGAACAATTAAGTATAGAGTTACTGCCTTGACAGGAAGATGGTAAAATTTTTTAAAAGACAAATAAATAAATAAAATAATAAAACCTGTAGCTCTGTGAGTCTCAAATAACATCTAATTGAAGTCAGTGAACATCTAGCAATCATTCTGAACACATAATTCTCTTAATACATGTTGCCTAAACTCCCAACAGATCTGACTTACCAACACCTGTATGTAGCCAAAAACTGACAATCATTTATAAATTATCACCTATGACTCCATCTTCTCTACCCACTTAAAAACATTTTACATCTTTATTTATGATTTTTTGTAGCAGATGGGATCTCACTATGTTGCTCAGGTTGGTCCAGAAACAGACCCACACTGATTTCATAAATCAGATGATCATACAGCCATCTGATTTATGAAAAAAAGTGCCACACAGTCCAGAAGGACAAGGATGTCCCGGTCAATATATGGTGCTACATTAAACAGTCACATCCATGTATTTTTAGTAGAGATGGCTATTTTTTAGTAGAGTAAAAAGTGAATCATGGCTGGGTGGGGTGGCTCACACCTGTAATCCCAGCACTGTGGGAGGCTGAAGTGGGCAGACTACTTGAGCCCAAGAGTTTGAGACTAACCTGGGAAAATGTTCAATGCCCATCTCTACAAAAAAAAATAAATAAAAAAAAAAAAAAAAAAAAAAAAATTAGCCAGGCATGGTAGCACATGCCTATGGTCTCAGGTACTCAAGAGGCTAAGGTGGGAGGATCGCTTGATCCAGGAGGTGAAAGTTGCAGTGAGCTGAGATTATGCCACCACACTCTAGCCTGGGAAATAGAGTGAAAGTCTGTCTGAAAAAAAAAAAAAAAAAGCATAAACTAAAATAAAATTGCTATGAGGTTAACACAGAAAAAAATGTGTTCATATTCTTAGGTTAGGCATTGATTAACAGGACACAAAAAGCAGTCACCATAAAGGAAAAGATTGATCAAGTATAATTTCATTAAAATTAAGAAACTCAGGCTGGGTACACTGGCTCATGCCTGTAATCCCTACACTTTGGGAGGCCAAGGCAGGTGTATCACTTGATCCCAGGAATTCCAGACCAGCCTATGTAACATGTTAAAACCCCATCTCTACTAAAAATACAAAAAGAGCTGAGCATAATGGTGCTCCCCTGCAGATCCCAGCTACTTGGGGGCTCAGGCAGGAGGATCACCAGAGCCTTGGGAGGTCGAGATTGCAATGAGCTGTAATTGTGCCATTGCACTCCAGCCTGGACAACAGAGTGAGATCCTGTCTAAAAAAGAAAAAAAAAAAATAGAGAATCTCCATTCATTTAAAAACACCATTAAAAGAGTGAAAAGGCAAGCTACAGTTTGAAAAAAGAGAAATGCAATACGTATATATCCTAGAAAGGACACATAACCAGAATAAAGTGTTACAAATCAACAGAAAAACAAGCATATCCTGAAAACAGGATACAGAGATTTAACAGGCACTTCACAAAAGAGGACATATAAATGGCAGTAAAAAATACTCAACCTCAATACCAGGAAAAGGCAAAATGAAACCACACTGATACATTACTGCACCTCTACTCCAATGGCAAAATAACTTTCAACTGACAAGCATCAGCAAGGATGTGGGATAAGCAGAATATTCCCTGATAAGTTTTACAACCACTTTGGGAAAATGTTCAACAATATCTGATACCTCTAAAACCAACAATGTGACTCTTACATATATACCCCAATCTAGCAATGTTCTATTTCTTCATCTGTGGTGAATTTTACTTAGTATAAATTTATTACCTGTACTTTTTTTTTTTTTTTTTAGGTTCTCCCTCTGCCATCCAGGCCTGCGTGCACTGGCAAGATCACTGCTCACTGTAATCTCAGCCTCCCAGGCTCTGATAGATCCTCCCATCTCAGCCTCCCAGGTAGCTAGGGACACACCACCACAGACAGCTAATTTTTGTATTTTCAGTAGAGATGGGGTTTTGCCATGTTGCCCAGGCTGGTCTGGAACTCCTGGGCTCCAGTGGTCTGCCCACCTTGGCCTTCCAAAGCGCTGGGATTACACGTGTGATCCACTGCCCCCCGACCACCTGCACATTTCAAATTGTCAACTTCTTCCACAGACTTCTGTAACTTTTCAAAGACTTCTTTGACACAAAGTTCTCAGAAATCTTAAAGCTAGCATTTTAGAATAGAAAACCGAGCTGCTGGTTCACAGGTGAAATTTTACCAATAAAATTTAACAACAAAAGAAAGCTACTAACGCGTATCAGCTCAGAACAAAGCTTTAAAACGACCAGCAGATCACTTTAACGTCCTCGAGCACTGGGAGTCATTCCTTCGGGTGAACAACACTGTACCCCAAAGAAATGATAGCACTTCAAGAAAAGACTTCCTGTGGAAAGCAGCTTTACCAGCAAAAAAAAAAAAAAAAAAAAAGGAAAGCGAGGACACCGCTCCAAAAGTCTTGCTGCGCTTCGGTGAAAGGACGCCCGGTGAGATCATCTGAGAAGCCCCAAAGACCCGCTCCCGCCAGCGGGATTCTTCCCGGCGCCCCGAGAGGAGGGCTGCGGCGGCCGCGGGGAGAGGAACCCGGCGCAGGGACTCCAGCCCGGCGGCCGCCCCGGCCGGCTCGCCCAGCAAACGCTGCGGAGGCCCCCTGCGCGCGTCAACCCAGCTGCGCGCCGGGGTCCCGAACTCCCCGCCCGCGGCCTGGCGCGGCGCCCTCACCTCACAAACGCTGGTGGACTTCCCGGCAAACCTCCACTTCCCACAGGCATGGCGGCCGCCACGCCCCGCGCCTCCGCCCTCCGCAGCCCGCCCGCCTGTCCTGCGTTTCCAGAAGCGCCGCACTCACTGAGCGGCTCCCAGCGGCGGCGCCACCCTCCCTCTCCCCTCCCCAGCCCTCCCCTCCCCTCCCCTCCCCAGGCCCTCCCCTCCCCTCCCCAGCCCTCCCCTCCCCTCCCAGCCCTCCCCTCCCTCCCCTCCCCACCTCCCCAGCCCCTCCCCTCCCCTCCCGCAGCCCTCCCCTCCCCTCCCCAGCCCTCCCCTCCCCTCCCCAGCCCTCCCCTCCCCTCCCCTCCCCCTCCCTCCCCTCCCCATGCCGTCCCTCCCCGCCTCTCCCGATCCCTCCCCTCCCTTCCTTCCCCATCCCTCCCCTCCCCTGCCCTTCCCCGCCCCAGCCCCTCCCCCGCCACCGCCCCCACCGCGCTCCTCCCCTCCCCTCCCCGCCCCTCCCCCTCCCCTGCCCTTCCCCTCCCCGCCCCTCCCCCGCCCCCGCCCCCACCCCGCCCCCACTCCGCCCCGCCCCGCCCCGCCCTTCCCCTCCCCTCCCCTCCGGCACCGCCGCTGTCTCAGCCACCGCCCACCGCCCCCCTGCGGCCGCTTGGTCCTCCGCTCCGGCCCCGCCTCCGAGAGCCCCAGGCGCAGGCGCAGCGGGGCCTTAAAGGGGCCGCCACCTCCACGGCACAGCCGGGTTAGGGCAGAGTGGGCGACAGCTGGAGCCGAGTCCCAGGAACAGCTGCGCTCCCAGAACGGGAGAGATCCACTCGAAGGTTTTGGGTTCCAATAGAGCAGAAGATGAAGAACAGAGGAATTAAAAGTGAGAATCCCTCCTCAGAGGGTGCCTGGGCCGTGTTCCTTGGCAGTTCGGGGGTATTTGCAGTATTGATCTGAAATGCTGCAGCTCCACGGGACGGGACGTGCTTTCGGATGCGGTCCTTGTCTTCTGCATTAGACGCGCCCTCGGGGGCAGCCTCGGTTTCCGGTCCCCGTCCATTGGCCACCTGCCCTGTCATTGCTTTGAGGGAAGAGGAAACAATTTTCAACATTGAAACTTGCCAGGGTGTCTAAGAACCTGTCTGTAGATGAGCTGCCTAAAGATCACCGGGGAAGACTTTTTTAAGGCAGATTTTCTGTTGCAAGAATTTATAATTCTCTAAATCTACGTTAAGGCCCGGAAAGAATCAAGAAAGCCTAAGGAATCTGCACATATTAAGAGTTTTTCCAAGTTTCCCAGAGAGAAGGAGCGGGCGCGTGGGGAGCAGAGGCCGTGGCAGGCAGCGGAGGCACCAGGAGCCGCCGAGTGACCTCGCCGCCCCTCCGGTCCCCTCCCCACCCACAGGCCCATGACCCGCGCCTGTGGCCTCTGCGCACCCAGACTCCGTGCATCCAGACTCCAGCTCCCCAGACTCCGTGCCCTGCAGCACCCACCAGTTCTCCGCCGTGGCAGCCTCACCGAGTGGCACCTCCTGCCCACTGCCCTGGCCACAGCCCCTGCGCCCACGGCAGCAACCCAGGTGACCATGATAGTGGTGGAGGACGCTGGTGAGTGGAAGAGAGGGCAGCCCGGCCACCGGGCCTACTTTCTTGCCTTGCTGATTGTCTATTTTTATAAGATTGTCTACTTTTCTAAGAGCTTTGTAAACAAAGAAACTTTTTAAAAAGGATGACTCTAATTTATATTTAATCTAAAGAAGAAGGACGTCAGGCAACTTGGGGGTTTGGGTTTTGGCTTCGTTTCTAAGTCTTCTCTTCGTTGACTTTGGGGCTCAGGTGCCCCAGATGCTTCGGGCTCCTGAGGACCTTCTGGGCCCTCACATTCATGAGGCAGCCACCTGGCGAGTCTGACAGGGCTGTCAGCGAGGCGCTGCTCCCACCTTTCTCCACGTTGGCGTCTGGCCGGGCGGGAAGGGAGAGGACACTGTGTTAAGCAGGTGCTCCAAATAACCCGATTAGCCGCTGGCAGGAGGAGCTCTCCCACATGAAGGACTTCCCCCAATGCTTCCTGGCCACGCCAGGGACCTAGTGGTGGCGACCGTGGCCACAGACCTGCCGGAGCCACTGCAGCTTGCGGCGGTAGCAACCTGGCCCCCCTGCCCCGGAGAGAGACCGAGGAGCTCAACGACCTCCTGGACCTGGGCCTTGTCCTCTCCAATTCGCTGTCCATCAGCAGTCGGTGGCCGCCACTGTACCCTTGTCAGCATCCGCGTCTTCCTCGTCGTTCCCGTCGAGCAGCGGCCCTGCCAGCGCACCCTCCACCTGCAGCTTCGGCTGTCCGATGCCGGCGGGGCGACCCAGGCGTGGGGACCCCACGGGCGGAGGCCTCCTCTGTGGCAGAAAGTCCGCTCCCCCTCCGACGGCTTCCTTCGACCTGGAGGACATCCACAACATGAGCCCCTCTGGCGGCTCTGCGGCGGACCTGCTGCAGCCGCAGTTGGAGCCGGGGTCCACTCCACCGCTGCAGCTGCAGCTGCCAGCTGTTGGGGTGACTGGCAAGTTCGTGCTGAAGGCGTCACTGAGCGCCCCCGGGCAGCGAGTACACAGCCAGTTGTCATCAGCGGCAGCGAAGACGGCCCTGACAGGCAGCCACCTGGTGGTGGTGGTGGCGGCCCCCACAACGGCGGCCCGCAGCGCCCGTACCCCAAGATCAAGCAGGAGGAGTCTCCTCGTGCACCCACTCAGGCGCTGGACCCCTCCCAGCCATGGCCACGGCGGGCTGCACACGACGTCCCCCTGGGGCGGCAGCCCCCGACCCCTGGGACCTGAGGAACTGCTGAGCAGCAGGGACTGTCACCCTGCCCTGCCACTTCCCCGGCTTCCATCCCCACCCAGGGCCCGATTACCCATCCTTCCTGCCTGACCAGACTCAGCCGCAAGTCCGCCGCTCCATGACCAAGAGCTCAAGCCGCCGGGTTCCTGCCTGCCGAGGAGCCCAGGCCAAACAGGGGAAGACGATCGTGTCCCAGAAAAGCACGGCCACCCACACAAAGAGTTCCCATCCCAAGGCACACCTGCGAACCCACACAGGTGAGAAACCTTACCACGGTGACTGCCAGGGCTGTGGATGGAAATTCGTCTGCTCAGATGAACTGACCAGGCACTACGGTAAACACACTGGGCAACGCCCGTTCCGGTGCCAGAAACTGCCACCGAGCATTTTCCAGGTCAGACCACCTCGCCTTGCACATGAAGAGGCATTTTAAATCCCAGACAGTGGATATGACCCACACTGCCAAGGGAGAATTCAGGTTTTTGTTTGTTTCTTTACCTTTTCACCTGGTCTTCCCGATGAGGGGCGGAGCCCAGCCAGAAAGCACTACATTCATGGTCAGGTTCCCAGCTGAGTCAACTTGTGAGTGGATAATCAGGAAAAACGAGGAATCCAAAAGACAAAAATCAAAGAATCGATGGCGTCTGTGACTGGATCTTCTATCATTCCAATTCTAAATCCAACTTGAATATTCCTGGACTTACAAAATGCAAGGGGGTGATTACCCCCTTTCTCTAAGCAAAGTGTAAAAAGGAATCAAGCCCCTTCTTCCGGGCCAAGAGAATTTTGAGCGTTAGCTGTCTCTTGGTCACTGGCAACAAAGAACTCCTGATTCTATCTCAGAGTGTGGCACTTTCCTTACAACTCGCTTGGTTACAACATTAGCAGTGTGAAAACAGACTAACGCCTGCACACGTAGGTCTAAGTTAAATGAAAATTGACGGAAGAAGCAATGTCACGTGAACAGTAAGCCTAAGGGGGTTGAAAGCATTATATTGCTACCGGTTATATTACTACCAGTAAAGAAGAGATTTTCAAATGAAATGTATTACCAGAGATTAAAAAAAGAGAGAGAGAGACATTTCACAATAACAAAAGCATCAATCCAACAAAAAGACATGCAATCAGAAATCCGCCCAATAGCTTAACTTCAGAGTTCACAAAAAAATGGATAAAATTACAGAGAGAAATGGAGAATTCTATGAGCATGATTAGATATGTTAAAACTTTAGCAATAAATTTAAAAACTATAGAAAATTCCAACAAAGAACTAGAAAAACAAAAACATTAACCACACAGACTTTATGTATATAAATACATATGAACATCAGTGAAAAAATATATATTGTCTCAAGTGTGAATTATACATTTACCAAGAGAAACTATATCTCAGGCCATCAAACAATACATTTGAAAATATTGAAATCATACAAGACGTATTTTCAGACCATATGAAAACGCATTAGAAATTGGTAGCAATAAGGTGATCCTGTGGACTGAATGTTTTGGTCATTCCCTAAGTTCATATATTGAAACCTAATCCCTAATGTGATGGTGTTTGGAGGTGGAGCCTTTAAGAGGTGATTAAGTCATGAGGGCAGATCCCTTATTAATTAGGTTACTGTTCTTATAAAAGGGACTTCATTCAGGTCCTTTGCCCCTTCCACCATGTAAGAACACTGAGAAAAGACACCATTTGTGAATCTGGAAACACCTGAATCACACACTCATTCCGCTATTGTCTTGACCTTGGACTTCCCAGGCTCTGGAATTGTGAGAAATAGATTTCTTTTGTTTATAATCCACACAGACTATGGTATTCTGTTACAACAGCCGAAATGGACTAAGATACATGATTGTAAAAATACCAAGTATTTAGAAATTAAACATCAAAACTCTAAATGACAATTTTGTCAAAGTAGAAATCACAAGAGAAATTAGGAAATCCTCTAAACTGAAGGATATTAAAGTAAAATAAATCAGAATCTATGGGGTGCAGCTGAAATAATAGAGAAAAAATGACATTTTTAAGTACCTCTATTAGAAAAGAAGAAGATGTCAAATTAGTAACTTAGCTTCTGCCATAAGAAATGAAAAGGAACATGCAGAGGAAGGAAATAATAATGAAACTGAAGTCAATTACTTAGAAAGATAAATAAAATTAACAAATCCTAAACTTGCTTGTACGGGAAAATAATCAGTAAATTTTATAAAACCCTAACTAGATTGATCAAGACAAAAAGATACAAATTAACAATAACAGGAATAAAAGAACATCAGACCACTGTGACCTTCAGGTCAAGAAAAGGAATATTAATAATTTTATGCCAATAAGCTTG